GAGACAAGCCGACGGTCAACGTCGAAAAACTCATACTGAACTTGATGAACAAGACAAAATACATCGTTCACTATCGCAACCTGCAGCTGTACTTGTCGCTGGGAATGAAACTCATGAAAATACACAGGGCTCTCCAGTTCGATCAAAGTCCATGGATGGAACCTTACATTCGGTTGAACCTGAATCTGCGAAAACAAGCCACGGCGACTGTACCTGTACAAGCTCATGTACAACTCAGTGTTCGGCAAGACGATGGAGAATTTGAGAAAAGGCTTTACATGAAATTAGTCAGATCCAGCGAGGAAGAAAAACTCAGGAAACTGATCGCCAGCCCGGCGTTCAACCGAAGCAAAATATTCGACGACTTGGCAGCGCTACACATGAACAAAAGTCACATCAAATTCAACTGGCCCATTTACGCTTACGCATCCTAGACTTATCCAAACACTTGATGTACGACTTCTACTACAACGAGCTGAAAAAGCAGTACGGCGACAGATGCGAAGTGCTGTACACGGACATGGATTCCCTGCTGATGGAAATTCACACCGAGGACATGAAGAACCACACGCACCTGTACGACACTAGCGACTACCCTAAAGATCACCCTATGCACAGCCAAGTCAACAACAAAATGCTCGGCAAGATGAAGGACAAATGCGTGGGCATGCCAATCGCCGAGTACGTCGGCTTGAGACCCAAGATGTATTCCATCAAGAAAGCCGACGATGAGTCAGAAAGGCGTGAAAAAACACATCAAGCACGCCAGATTCAAGGAAGCCCAGTTCAAGAATAAAACGTTCAAACACCAAATGAACATGCCGAGAAGCGACGGACACAGGATATACGGACTGAGAATCAACAAGATGTCGCCGTCTCCCATGGACACAAAACGATGGATCGCCATTGCTGGAGTCACCACTTACGCGTACGGACACACACATGTATCGAATAATTGAACGCATCACGCACACATACGTACATACATCATGGAGAAAATTTATTACAGCCCACGCGGGTACTGAAAAGGCGCAGACGCCATCCCAAAACTCGCCAAAGCAGCTCGAGTCTCGGAAGAGAAAGCCTGGCTAAAAAAACAAGCCATCTGACAAGTCTACCTGCCGACGCCTCGGTACATCCCGAGAAGAAAATTCGACATTTCGACGATGAATCGCATTCACCAAGCCGACCTCCAGTTTCTCCCTCCCGACAGGGTGAGGCGCAAAACCTACAAGTACGCCCTGACCGTCGTCGACGTCGCTACAAGGAAGCCGAACCGTTGATGACCAAAGATTCAAACGAAGTCGCCAAAGCCTTAGAACGCATCTACAAACGCAGTCCCTTGACCTGGCCTGCAGTATTGCAAGACGATCCCGGACGGAAGTTCATGGGAGCCGTGTCGCAGCTGCTGGCCAAGCACAACGTCCAAGTGAGACGAAGTATAGCTGGAGATCACCGCAGCCAAGCCATAGTCGAGAGATTCAATCGCACCTTAGCCGAACGCCTGTTCTCACACCAATACTCGCAGCATTTAATGGATCCCGGAAACAGAAACACGGAATGGGTTGTACGCTTGCCACGAGTGGTGGATGCCATCAACAACGAAGTCACCAGACTCGTGAGCAAGAGACCAGTCGAAGCCACAAAAATGAAATCTGTCGAATCGTCACCAGCGGCACGTCGCGATAAAACAGAGAAAACATTACCGGTCCGTGTCAGCGTTAGGTACTTATACCAGCCGGGCGAATAAGAGGGAGACTGTAGAAAACGCGCCACCGATCCGATATGGTCCATGAAAACTTACAACATTGACCTGGTCGACATCAAAGACGGCGAACCGAACTTGTACTACTTGAAGTTCATTCTCTGAGAGCATTCGTCAGAGAGGAGTTGATGATCGTACCTCACGACAGTCCCTTACACATCGCCCACTGTGTGATGATAGTTCTCATCACCAGCCAGCCGTATATGATTAGCCGAGCACACACACACACACTTAAAAGTCAATATTTCAGAAACTATTGCACCGATTTTACTATATTTTGCATACAACTCAGTAGTAGTATACACAATAGCAGATCTGTGATAGGGATTTACCAAAGGGTTAATTTTTTAAATTAAGCCTTTGGTAAGGACCTGTCACAGAACCGCTATTGTGTACAGTGAAGCCCCTTTAGTCCGGACCCCGATAATCCGGATGTCCCGCCTCCCGGACGATTTTAGCTTGTTACCAATCTATGCCTATTTAATTTGCCTCGATAATCCGGAAATTCGGTTTCTGGAACCGGACGGTAAGTACCTGTAACCAATCAGTAAAACAAACAGTAAATTGCTTCACAGTTCGGATGCTGTAAGTCGTGTTCACGAACCATAACAACACACACACACCCACCCCACCCCACCGGCGATGTTTACTTAACTGGCCATAAACAATAAAAACTCGGTGTCATGGAGTTGACAAGATGAACTCCTGTTAACTTTTGAGAAATGTCTATTGAGGGTTGCTGTTTTAATTAGACATTAAAAGCTCCCGACTGAAGATGCTGTACATTTACACTTTGATTGACACCACAATACAAAGGCGTGGATGAAAAGTGAGCTGTTTTGTGATTGGTTAATGTACTTTGACAGACAGATGCGGTCATGTGGACTTAAAAGTGATTTTGCTTCTCGACAACGCTGCAAGTCACAAGTGTGCTTCGCTAAATTTGCGAAATGTTACCAAATACCACGTCTCATATTCAACCGATGGATGCAGGAATAATTCGGACATTCAAGGCATACTACAATAGATCGCTTGTTAGACATTACCTCACCTGTGCTGAGGAAGGACGTGATCAGACACGTCAGATCAACATGCGGATGTCACTCGGTAAAATTATTGATGTGCTGAATTCAATGAGGAAGGTTAAACGAACACAAACAACAATGAAAGACTTTTTGCTATGACTATAGATTATTGTTGTGCTTGCTAATCATTGTTTTATAAACTTTAAATTAAATGCTTATTTGTTTTATCCAGATTCGTGTCGTTTTTGTAATAGTAAGGGAAGCAACTCTTGCTTGAACTTGGGTCATGATTCAGTAGTCCGGACGAATTTGCTGAGAAACGCAACCGTCCGGATTAACAAGGCTTCACTGTATACTACTGGATGTCCTTTTTCTGTGTGTTCCTTGCATTTATGCATACATTTATGCATCATGTATAACGTTGTGTTTGATGGATTGGGTCAATTCCAATATGAAAGATGCATTTTTATCAGCTGCATGTTTTGTTTATGTCCAAGTGTTTTCTTTTGAAGGTTCTTTTGAGATAACATTTTAAATGAAATATGGCAAGTTTCAGTATTTCTTTTGCAGTCTCTTTTGAAGAAAAAACATTATAAGTGAATAATTGGTGAATACTTAGTAGCTGAAAAGGACTCATAAGAGGTGAGGTGAAATTGGGTTTTACATCGCGTTTGAGAATATTTCGCTCTTATGACGATGTGCATGTGTGTGTATGTGCGGCTGTTTGTACTAGCCCAGACTTAAGCTGGTTTTATAGTGCTAGCCCACCGAGATACCATGCCGCAGTGAAGCATGAATACCCCACTCAGATACATTATACTGACTCCGAGCCGACTAGTCCTTGTTGTACCCATTAATGCCGAGCGCCAGGCAGGGACCAACAAGTACCATATTTTAATGTCTTTTGGTATGACGCAGTCGGGGATCGAACCCGCGACCTTCTGCTCCCTGGGCGGACGCTCTAACCTCTACACCACGGAGGCGGTCGGACTCATAAGAAAATGGTGAGTGGAGGACAGGATTTTTGTAATATTGTTTTGATGTGAGATTAAAGCTTTGCCAAGTTTGGTGATAGATAACCAGCTGAGCTGGCAATATTCATTTCAAAGTGGAAGAAAAATGAAAGAAAGAGACAACATACAATAAACATTAGAAATAGATTAGTGGATGTATTCATGGTGCTTCACTTCACATATTTATCTTTTATCAAACTTTTCTAATTTGAAATACATTTGCCTAATAATAATTGGATATGTATATATATACATCATTAACCAATATTTGAGTCTCCCCAATCTTATTTGTGTTACGTACCATGTATTTGTTTACCAGTTGGGAGTCCCTACAAATTTTTTCATGGCTACAAGTTCTTGCTGTTACAAGATCACCTGTAACCTGTCAGCTTAATGTGGGAGGAAAGCCCAGTTATGTGATGCCTGTATTCAATTAGATAACACATATACAGTATGTAATGAAATACAGGTATGCCGGCTTAATAAGACCAGGTTGTAACGGGTATTTGTTATTATTGATACACATACTTCTACATAAACATGACAAGCATACTGGGTAGCCATATATTGTGGCTATTTGTATTTCACAGTTCTGATAAATTAATCATGCAGGGCTCGATTTAAGAGATTTTAACCTACTTGCACCAGGTGCAACCTAAGATAAAAAACTAGTTGCACCAGTCAAATTCCAGTTGCAATGTTTGTATTGCAATATGTAATATCAGAAATGTGCTATTGCATTATTTAGATGTTTTATTCAGAAGTTTACCCACTCAAAAATTGACTTGCGCCTGGTGCAAGTTAGACTAATAACTAGGTTGCACTTTGTAATATTGGCTTGCACCAGTGCAAGTAACAAAGCACTAAATCGAGCCCTGTCATGTCAGTAATAAATTAAAAGGGGAAACAATACCTTATCAAAACGACGTAAAACGGATCATTCGGGAGTAAAATGCAAGTAACAAAAAGAAATGACAGTTGTTATGATAAACAATCAAGACAACATTGAATAATCAAATGTACTATGTAGGCAAGTCTACCAAGCAACCCGTCTCAAGAGAGATCATTGCAGAAGCACTCTGCGTGGTTTCGTGATGTAACTGAGTAAGCTCCATAGGGCCCCACAGTGGGCCTTCCTGACAACAGAATATCCTACATGGCACCAGGCAATGCAGTTAAAAAATTCAAACATCTTACCGATCCGTTCAATTGTGAATCCTGCTGGAGCCTTCAACAACCTTCTTCCCCACGCAGTACGCAGATTTTCGAGATGTATTTCATTCCCTATTACGAGTATTGTGGACGGCTCCACGAAACCTTTATAACCCAAATTCCTTATACTTTCAACCAGAGCGGGGTTCCAGTAACAAGTCTTGTTCCGAAGTTTGAAATCCTCCAGGAGTTCCTTCCCATTGTGAACAACACTGACCGTTGATTCAAGTGTAGCAGAATTTTCATCTCCATACTTTTCTTTTTCTGCCAGCACGATAGCAAGACACTTCGACGTCACGGTTAGATGTTTGGATACCCTTTTCTCGCCCCGAACGTGACGGGAAGACATGATTTTAAATTGTGCGATTTAGTAAAACTTTCATGTTTTAAATAATCATACTTCCACCTCTTCACCTGTCGCTTGGATTTACAGATCGTGTCTCGCGCTTGTCTGCGCCGCCTTGTGGTGGGTTTACTCCTCTAAAGGGAGGTAACTTCACAACTTGCACAACAGCAGGTGCTCAGTCCGCTTCTCCGAGAAATATCTTTAATATTGCCACATTGGTCAATAATGTCTAGAAATCTGCGAGCAGAAACAAATTTCGTTGACATTTCAGATTTAACCATTCAAAGAACACATATTACATACACAGATATATACACACACGCGCGCGTCCAACAAAAGTACTAGAATCTGCACTTTACTAAGAAAGTGTAATCACAAATATAACATATGTTATAATTATATTTGTAGGCAATAAACAATCCGTGTACCTAAATCGTAGAAAGTCAGAATTTTGCACATAACAGAAATAGAGCAGAGTAATTTCGAAAATGTCTGCCAGGCATATCTTCGAGAAGTGTCGTTCGTGCTCAAATGCCCATAAATGTATTACGCCAGATATCTGTTGCGCTAAACCCGCGTTCACTTGACCCTTGACTCCATGACTATCGCCCTCCGGCATTGACCTCTGCGTTGCCAGCCTAGATAATATCGATTTTTATATCACAGACTATTGAACTGTGTTGATATGGTATTACCTGACTCTCTGCTTGGTAGAATAAAGTAATAAGTATGAAGTAACATTTATTGCCGCTCAGCCCCAAAACTCGTTCAGGAGCTTTATACCATTCATAGTTCATGGAGTCGGGCATACCTAGATGAATTACACATTGAGTAATATTTTCAGCTTGAATGTGATGGAAATAGTTCACTAACACTGTTACTTGAAGTCTTCAAAATCTTTAAAATTATTCCCAAACAACATGCATTGTCTTCGATATTTTTTGGTCCCTCAAAGAAGAGTTGGGTGTGTGTAGCTATCTGAAAGCGATAAATTACAAAACGCTCGTTTGCGTTCGTGTATATTACATGCGCGTGAATTCGGTCCATACGCACAAATATATTATGCGACGTTAAACATTAACTCACTACTCTGACGTCATATCGTACTACATCTCTCGGCTACTTGCTTTCAAGCCATAAGCATACACAAGAATGCATGGGCAGTGCTTAAAAGCCTGTCAACGGACTTGATATTCTTCCATATTGTTCAAGGTGATAGTCGCGCATGATTCAGTTTAGTGTGTCCTGAGGTTCATGAAGGAGGTCAAAGTAGCGTTAAAACCATTTCACTCACTCACCCACAATCAGTTCTTTCAAGATAAATACTGTCCAACTATTTAAGAATCAGCATCATGGCTCCTATGTGAACACAATCCTGCACTAAATCACATTGTCTGTCATATTAACATGATTTGTGTATGAATGTCCTTTGTGAGAAGAACTCAGAAATACAATGTGGACAAACCCAACTCAAGCTCAAACGGAGTTACTTCTGCCGACGCATTGTTTAATTAAACGTTTTAAATCAAATTCTAATTATTTTTGAAAATCAAGCATGTGGAAGTATTCAAGTATTCTTTGCACTTCGGGCCCTGTTAAATTGCCAGTCCAGTCTAGTTTTTGGGTATAGCATTTCTAATCTAAGATATCTTAAACTGAAAATCAAACATTATTATGATAAAATGTGAGTTACATGCACCTTTACTTTACAGCAACCTGCATATTACACTGCTGGTGTAGTGACGTCAACGTGTAGTCATATACCCATAGTTTAACATAGTAAACTTTCAATGAACAGTTAAATATGCCTTCAAGTATTGACATTGTCATCTCTTGTGACATGAGCATTTGGTTGTTAGAGTAAAATGAATAATAGTTTACGTGGCGTGTTTGTGAGTTTGGGGGAATCTCTTCAACCTATATAACTAATAGACAAAAAAGAACGATGGTTATGATTTGATCAAAACGTATCCCCGCTGTGTGGGCATTTTGGGGTTTCTGCTGCATGGATACGATGGCTGAGATTGATGCAATTTATGTGTTTTATAGTTTGATATTTAATTATTTAATTGAGCTATACTATTAAAAATGCACATTAGATTTATTTAAGGCGTGAACGAAACCCCATTTGATCACCGCATACAGTTTTTGTATTGGATGTAAACAGTGGAGGAAGATACATTTCTCAATATCACCCCAATTTGTAAATATGTGTATTGGTCAAACAATCTATATGTGACAATACCTCAGTGTACTAAAACGGTTTGTTCAACTTACATACTTACATTATGGCAGATGACAAAAATAAACATTCCTGCACAGCACAGTTCACCAGTTCAGTGTATGTCTGGTGTGCATACAAATGTGCATGAAGAACTATCGAATAATTTATGAGTTATACTCAAAATTATAAACGGCACGCGCGGGGGACAGGTCATGTTCCTACATCCTCTGCAAAACTTCAGTTTCGGGCGCGGCACATAAAACAAACCAAATGAGTTTATGTACAACAGTACTGCTGTACTAAGCAGCTAACACGTGTACGTATTGTTTTGGTAACATTAACGTTTCTTTCAAATTCTCAGAACAGTAAGGGACCTTACTTTTCAGGCAGAGAAACTGGATACAACAATTTCTATACTCCCTTAAATTGTTGTCATCCATATTTTACAGCATAAACCTTCACCTGTAGCACATGTTATATTTGGGATTATACTTTTTTAGTAAAGTACAGATTCTAGTACTTTGTTGGGCTGAGTCCCATCCGGGATTCGAACCCACACCCTCAGGGTCAGGCACCTAATCTAAGAAAATATAATCCCAAATATAACATATGTTACATATGTTATATTTCACACTTTTTTAATGGCATTGTGTAAACATAAACCTACACCTGTTTACTTGTCATCATTCCCTTCATGCTCAGTTAATGAATTTATTACTGGTATAATTAAGGCCTTAGGGTGACACTACTCAGGTACCTGACAAAGGGCTTTAAGGAATTTCGGCCATTTTGGCATTTTTCGTTTCTAACGTAAGTACTCAGTCTAAGATTGGTTTAAAACTCAACTTCTGATGTGGGGAATGTATTATATGTTATGTAATATGCATGTGGAAGCGCAGCAAGAGATGAATGGTCGGGTGAGCTGCCAATAATCACACACCAAAAAATTACGATAGATTGATTGATTAATCAGTATTATCTTGCACATGTAGATTTACTAATGCAGACGGAATAAACCCATAACGTGGCGTGGCGTGCCTTTTTACAGGTATCTTCCCATTTGTTACACATGTCAGTTGTTACACACCCCAATACACATAAGGTCACAGACCACTGCACACACCTATTACCTATTAGTGAAGAATGGGATAGTCCATACTCGTTACAGATACAGAAAGAGAACGCAACATATATGATTAGCACTACATATCATTTTATTGCATTTTATATGCATTTGTTTGCAAATCCATGTATATGAATTTCATCATTCTTCGATGTCCTTTATCATTTATTTCTGAACCCCTGATTCAACTCAGCACATAGATTTCACATAACAAGAGTCTCAACCAAGCTTAATCAAATGTCCGATGGCATCAAGGAAGTCAAGTGGTGTCCTGGTACCCTGTGAAGCTTGCCCTTCAGTCTCTGGATTCTGTTCTCCAACTCCCTGTACCGGTCGTGTGGCAAGGTCCGACTTTAGTCTGTTGTGGAAGCCCTCGAGATTGTTGTTAGTGCGCGGTACTCTGGTCTGGTGGTGGTTCCATAGGTGAATTGGAAATCTGGCGTCGTCATCCACCCAGTTGGCAACAATGCAGTCATTGAAGTCCACTGAATGAGGGGTGTCAGGAGTTGAGTTCATGGATTCCAGCCACGTGCCTTGCACCGGATCTATGGGAAGGAGTTCAAGTGCTGCAGCACGTCGTATCCACTTCTGAACACTGGGGTCATCCTTGTAGAGTGTGGCTAATCCCAAGTTTTGTGTCTTGCGCTATATGGCTTGAGTGAAATGAAAGAAACGTCCCTTGATCTCGGCATTAGGGAACTCAGCTTCGACAGCCTGGATAGCTGCAAGTTCAAAGTCTTGAGGTCAGAGTAGAGGTCATGCATGTGGGTTGTCTCTTCACTAGCTCTTTTCCTGAGACTGCCGATAAACTTATCCCGAGTGACATTTTCTGGTGGATGACTGTGTTCAGAAACATTCCTGACAAGATCTCCAACTGTTGTGCATTTGCCCTTGCAGGTCTTAACAATGCATCGCCAGTGCTGACATGTCTGTCGTGTTGTGGACTTGTTGTAGAGGAATCCTTCAAAAAGAACTTGTAATGTGCCTCACTGCGACCTGACATACTCTACTCTTTGTATACCAGCCATGGTTAATGTGCAAGGGTCATCCCCAGCCATTTATAGTAAATGATGTATTTTCTCAATATAATTGAGTTAACTGTACAAAATAGTTAATCCCACCTTGAGAAGAAGAAATCATCACTAGATAAAAACAACTGAATGTAAATATTAAATGCTAACTTTAAAAAACATCTTTAATCAAACGAACATTTCTTGAGTAAAACAACATCAAAACTGCTTGCTCTTAATCGCTTTGATCCACTTGACAGTTAAGCTGCTTTACTATAAATCCTTCTACTGAGCAGTTTGGGCTAGTCCATTATTGTTGTAGGTATAGCAGTAATTAACCCCCAACCTGACTGTGTAACAACTGGCAATATCAGAGTGTGTAACAACTGGCATGTGTAACAAATGGGAGACAACCTTTTTAAAACCAGCATGCTTAGTTCGCAGGATAACCCGATAATACGCTGACCTTTTGCTTAATGTTAAACGAATAAAAAACAACACCGTGCACATCATGAAAATAGTTGTCGTATGTGTCATCTTTCCAGCCAATGTGAACAACATATGAACAATTCATATGTTTTATTTACCGCGTGAACATTTTTCGATGTAATGTACAGGGTAATGAACAGCATTTCGTGTCCGAATGACAAAGTCTTTAACCTTTGTTGTTATTGTATAAACGCTACACGGCACACTTTACATGGTATCCGTATACCAGATAACTTTAAATGGCATCGGCATACC